CAGGGTGGATTCAATGGGAAGAAAGGGGAGAGGGATGGGAGAGAAACAGTGGGAAGAGAAAGCTGGGGGGGGGGGGGAGGGAAGAAGGGAGGAGGAGCAGAGAGAGACAGAGAGACAGACAGAGACAGAGACACGCGGAGACAGAGAGAGAGACAGGGACACCTCTGTAGTGGAGGAAGAGGAAGAAGGGGGATAAAGACAGTGAAAAAGGCAAGCTAAAAGAGAACTGGAGGGGAGCAGACAGACAGACAGACAATAAACACACACAGTCCAGTCTAAACTCCCTTCTCCCCGCCCCAAGTGTAATCTCAGCAGGCAGGCAGGAGGATTACTCTGGCCTGGGCTCCAAAGATAATTTCAGGTCAGCCCAGGTCTCAGAATGGGACCCTTTCTTAAAGCAACAGGAAACCTAACTCCAACTCCCTTCTCCCAAGTTAAAACCAGCTCCAACCTTAAGCTACTCAAAGCCTGTGGAAACCTCGAGATGCCTAATAATTAATCGTGGTCATTAATTAGGAAGGAAAAGGGGGAGATGGCTTGCTGCTGCTTGACCCCAAACAATTTAAATTAGGCTTTGTGGAGGTGGTCTCTTAAGGCAGCCCTCTCCCTCCCTCCTTCCTATTCTTTTTCTTTGAAGCGGTCAAAAATTTCCATTATAATCCCCAACGGTGGTGCGGGGCGGGCCGGTGCGCGCTCCCTCGCACTTCCCAGCAAACTGAGGCCAAGCTGGCCCCGGCTCCGGGAGCTGCCGGCTGCACTGGGTCCAGCCCGGAGCTCTTTCCCATCCCGGCAACTCCCACCTGTCTTCCCCCCACCCCTCTGCCTGCACCTGCTGTGGATTGTTTCTCCCAGAACTTCAGAAATCAAGTAGCTGCCCAAGAATTAGTCTCGCTACAGTGCTCACGAGTTAGTCATCTCTCGCTCTCTGTGTGTATCTCTGTCTGTCTCTGTCTCTCTGTCTTCTGTCTCTTTCTCTCCCTCCTCCTCCCCTGCCTCTCCTTCTCTCCTCCTTCCCCCCTCCCTCTCCTCTCCCTCTCTCCCCCTCTCATTTTCTCCCTCTTTCTGGAGACTGGAGTTCCTTATTTGAAATGGTGCCGCTAATACAAAGTCATCAAAGCGCTATGGTTCTTGTCTTAAAGTGACAGCTTGCTTTATGGGGCTGTTTTAAATACTCTCCCTCCTTTTCAATGTCTCTCTATCCATCTTTGTCTGCTCTTCAGAAATGGGGACAATATAAAGCCCAGCCTGGCGAGCTCCCCACGCTGGGCCTGGGCAGTGCCAACCCCCGCCTTTAAGCAGATTGAAATTGTCAGTGCTTCATTAATCTGAAACTAGTTACTTTCGTAGGCACAGAGCACACACTTCCGATCTGTCCAGATTCTCTGAGGGGAGCCCCTGGGGCCTTCCGGTGTTTGGGGTTGGGAAACCTCACCAAAATACAATTGGGTTGGAGAAAACAGGGCTCAGGTGCAAGAATAATAAAACACGGTGGAAAGGGGGCTTCCTGAAATCAGTAGACCAAGGAAGCCCTGTTTTTAGAGACAATGGGACCCCCAGAATTTTGGAGAATGCACTTGAACCTAAGGAGCTAAGGTTCTGAATCTACCCTAGAGCGCCATTGGGAACTTGAGGTCTCATGTGCTTTGGGTCTCCTTTCTCCAAACAGGAGAAACTTACTTTCAGGTTTCTTCCAAAGTCGGATTGTTGCTGTTTCTACTTGTCTTTGCCGTCTGATTTTCATCTGAACTCTCATTCAGCTCTGTTCCTAAGACACATCTTTCAGTTCCCACTCTCTTCTGGCCTGGCTCAAACTCAGCTTGACTTAGCCTCTTCAAGAATCTGCCCCTGAGCTGCAGAGCTCCGGCGGGGCTGGAGTTTCTTGTCTCCTGTGATGTGAGCTCAGGCTTTCTCCACTCCTCCCCCATTAACAAAGACAATACAAAAGACTCCTCTGCCCGTCTTATTTCTAGCTGGCTTAGAATAGTTAAGTTTTTGGATTTCATTCTATCTAATTTAAGAAAGAGGCATCTGTGGGCACTTTTTTTTTTTCTAAAAAGAGCTCAATTTCAGTAATGTGAGCCTAAAGATTTATAAAATAGATTTATATTAAATTATGTTAATAGAAGCCTAGTAAATGCACCAATTAATTGCATGGAAAAAATGTTCCTTTTTAAAAGGTCTGTCACCTTAACAGGTACATTCAAAGATTCTCTGTGAATAATGAAAATAGGAACAATTGCTCTGATGCACAGAGCTGCATTCATCCTCTGGGACAGCTTTCTGTTTGGGGAAGGTGGGAGGAGCTCCTTTTAAAGAAGTGATTGCTCCTTTAAACCCAATTTCCTCCAGCAAATGGGTTCAATTGCAAGTGTCATTCTCTTCCTCCTCCGTCCTGAAGGCTGGGCTGAAGCTCCCTTCCCAGAATTCTCCTCCCTCTCACCTCAGTGTTCACCAGCTTTTCTCAAGCCTTAGCTTTCCCTGAGCACCTTCCCACCTTCCTCAAGGGCATCTCTCAAGGAAGGGGGCCTGCAAAAAAGGAAGGATTTTTTTTTTTTCTTAAAGAGCTGAATCTAGAGCTTAGTTAGGGTGCTGGTGCGAGCTTGTACAGAGCCCCGCTGGATTCAAGCCCCTGCACCACATAAATCAGGTCCTGTCAGCACTGAAAGATGAGGGGAAAGGTTAGCCTTAGCTACCAAGACAGTTTGTAGTCAGCATGGACTACAGATGCTGTATTAAAAAAAAGAAAATTAAAAACCCTAGTATTCTTCCACTTGTTCTTAGCTTTCCATTTACACCACCACTGCCACTTAGTTCTCTTTCTCTCCCTGTCGTCTCTCTCTCCTTCTCTGTGTGTGTCTCTGTCTGTCTGTCTGTCTGTCTGTGTATGTGTGGGTGGGTGGTCTCTGTGTGTGTGTGTGTATGTGTGTGTGTGTGTGTGTGTGTGTGTGTGTGTGTGTGTGTCTGCCTCTCTCTCTCTCTCTCTCTCTCTCTCTCTCTCTCTCTCTCTCTCTCTGTCTCTCTCTCTGGCACACAGGCCTGCATGCTTGACATCTGCAGTACTGCATCGATGTGGGCACACAACTCCTTTTACCACCCGTGACCAACTTCATTTAGCACCTTTCTGGCAATCGTCTGACTAGTCAGTGTGGCCCAAGCAAACTGACACAATCCTAATCAGATAGAATTGGATGGAAATGGTGGCCAGCAGTAGGGGTGGGGAGGGGCAGAGGAGGCTACAAACGGAGGACTGTCCTTCCCTAAATCTTGTTTCTATTTGGGAAAGGAAGTAGCAAGAAACAGAGCTCTGATGCATAATTCAAACCAAACCGGTTCAGAATAAGAACTCCGGAGAAGATCGGTCTAGTGGCACCAGTGTCTCCATTACCTGGGCTACTGACACCCCCAAGAATAAGTTGTTGGATCCCTTTTGCCAGGGTTTACAGTTGAGAAGCCTTGCCTGGGGATACAATCTCTGTCAGACCCTTGGCCTAGAGCATGTGTTGGTCACTGGATGGGGGAGTAGAAGGGGAAGGCCTTTGTTCCCCCTTTCCTCTCTGCGTTGAGCCAGGGTACAGGGGTGAAAGGTCATCTTCCTTGTGTTCAGAAGCTCCTAGCTGCCTAGGGTTCTCCAGGTTGGATACAACACCTTCAATGGTTCTCCCTCACCCCCTCTTTTTAGTCAAGTAATCCAGGTTTCTAATATTTTCATTTCTGTTTTCTGGTTGTGTTTAAGGATTCTGAGAGTTTGTGTTTTGGGTAAAGAGCATTTGGTGGGTTCCCGAGTGGGACACTAGGAAAGCCGGAGTCTAAGACTGCCTAGTAGACACCGTCCACATTGGCTCCCAATGTCTTAAACCTTCTCCAATGCACCCAAGGGCACGGTGGCTTGCAGTGCTTGATCTGATGGTTGTTGGTAGACTATTTCCATACTTGAGCCTAGTGTCTGAGAGTTGACTTAAAGGCTCTTAACCTAATGTGGGTAGCCAGATCCTAGATCCTGGAAGCGTGATTCTTAAAACCTGCACAGTAGCAGTCCTCGGTCAGGATAGCAGTGCTAGCTGGCTCTCCTTTCACCTGCTGCAGAACCATGCTCCACACACACAGCTCCAGAAGTGGTAAGCTCCTGGCAATTGCGTGGCAAGAGCTGGCCACAAGGCCCAGCAAGGTTACAGTAGAGGCTGAGATCCTTACTGGCAACGGAACTGAGTGTGAGCCAGACCCAAGCGCAGGGCAGTGGGGAGTAGGTGGGTGTGCACATAGCAAGGGGATGGAGCAATCGTCTGCAGAAGAGGCTTTGCTTTGGGTTGGAGTAGGCTAAGAGGCAGAGGGGACCGTGGGTGGGGGTGGGGGGAAGGTGGAGGGGGGCACCGGAGGTGTCTTTGTCCTGCTTATTTCCAGGAAAAGAAATTACCCTCTTGAAAGGCCCACCCCTAGCCCTTGCAAACATCATTCCTCCCACTGGCCATTGGCCCTGGTTGCCTAGAAGCCCATTTCCTAGGAAAAAAGGAGGTTGGTTTTTAGGAGGTAGGAAATGCAGCGAGTTTGAGCCTGCTCCCCTCCCAGCCAGCAGGACAAACCCTGCTTTCCTTCTTGTGAGGGTCACAGAGATCAGGCCAGCTGAGCACCAGTTGCCAAGGTCCCCTTGACTTTGTCAGTGTCCCCTGACTGTCCCCTGTCCTGGCAGCTGTGAGGTCACCCGTTTTGGTGAAAGGAGCACTACCTGGTCGCAGTCAAATGAGGACTGAGGTGTCTTTTTGATAAGAAGTCTCTGTTACACACAAACCCTTAAGTTCCAAGTTCCATCAGCTGGGTGACCCACATGATTGCAGCCAGGACTTACCTCTAAGTCCTTACTCCCCACATGACTGTCTCTAGATATGGTGTATGTTTGGGGGGGGGGTGAGGGCAAGCACCACAAATTTAAAGTATTTATTTTGTTTCATTTATTTAAATAAATATAAATATAAATTTTATATAAAACTATTCACATACAAAGGGACTTCCAGAGACTTGAATTTAAAACTCTCCCCTGCCCCGTGAAAATTTTCAGAAAAACAAGACCTACGGAGTTTAACTCTATATTAATGGCAACCTCAATGGTTTCCTTTCAAAACAGCAACAAAACTAATGAAGAAGGCCCTACCTGATCAAGTTCTGAGAAAGACAAGGCTGGCAAATGACATGCGTGGTTTCAACCCACTCCCCTATACAGTGTTAAACTTAAATAAACCCTGTTTTTTTTTCTGTTAGATGAGACTGACTCGAATTCTAGATTATTTACATTAAAAAAAATCCATAACTCTGAGTGGAGTCCCAAATAAAGAGTCAAGAAGTAGCTTCAGAGTCAGGCCCAGCTTTGAACTCTCTGGACTTCTCCGAGTGAGTTCCTTTTCCAGGAAGGGTGAAGGCAATGAACTAGAACTTTGGTCCCTATGCTGATTCAGCAGGGGCTGCCGGGGAGCAGGTAGCCTGAGGAGCATCCTCCTTTACAAGGGAGAAATGTCCTTGTCTTCGTTAGCCGAGGCTGGGGACAAGGAGTCCTCGTCCTCTGAGCGCGCATAGTGTGCCTGGCTACCCACGCACTTGCAGCTGGCGTGATTGTTTCGCGAAGCGCCTTTCCCCTCCTTCTTGTGCTTCACGCGACGGTTCTGAAACCAGATTTTCACCTGCTTCTCGGACAGGTTCAGGTACGTCGCGATCTCGATTCTCCGGAGCCGGGACAGGTACATATTGGAAGAGAATTCTCGCTCCAGCTCCAGGAGCTGCGTGCTGGTAAATGCTGTCCTCATCCTTTTGCCGTTGGGTACCTGGCTGGCGTCGGAGCCTCCTACGGACCCAAAAGAGAGCAGAGGTGAGGTGCAGGGAAGTATCCCCTACTCTACTTGCCAACCGTTGGAAAGGACGGGTCTCCAGAACCCAGTCTAACCCAACAGACCCATGCTCGCCCCACTTTCGCATTCTGTGGCCTGTCTGGGAGGGTGAGAGACGTCCAGGAGAATTAAGGCCTTCAGTATGTATGCGCTGGATTCTAAGTTAAAGGACTAAGGAGCGCTGGGGCTTGCCCTCCTCTGCTGCCTTCGGTCTGCCTGGCGAAGTAGAAACTGCTAGCACAGGCACAACTCAACCACAGGCACAGAAACCCTTTAACCAGCCGGGATGCTAAAATGCCGTACTGAGGTTCAAACACACCCACCCCAAACCTCGCTCAGGCAACCTCCAGTTTCTCTGAAGTCAGGATCCAGGTCCCCAAAGCCCGGATAACACACGACACTTGCGCACCTATAGAGCGAAGTGCCTAAGGCCTCACCTTAGAGGTTGACAAGTGAACCCCCACCTCCGGTGGAATTGCTGAGGACGACCTCAACAGTTCCCACCTCCCGCCACACCCCGCCCCCGGGCTCGCACCTCCTCCCCTGGCGGCGCAAAGTTTGTTCCCGGGACGCGCGCGGGTCCCCAGGGCCCCCGCCCTACCCATGGTGAGGCAGTGGAATCTCCGCGGGTCCGACACGTTATAGGTGGTGGCGGCGCAGACAGGTGCGTGGTGCTGAGGGTGTCCCAGGGCCGCTGCGGCCGCCGCTGCAGCCGCCGCCGCCGCCGCCGCCGCTGCCGCTGAGCCTGGCTGCTGGGGCTGGTGATGGTGATGGTGGTGCTGGGGCGGGTGGTGGTGATGGTGCGCGTGGCTCACCCGTGGGCAAAACTGTGGGTCCCCGGGACCGGAAGAGAACTGGCTCTTGAGCAGAGGTAGGGCGCCGGTGCCCCCAGTCGCCCCGCCACCCGCCACCGCGGCCCCTGCGGTCCCCGTAGCGCCCCCGCCGCCGGCTCCTGCGGGCGGGCGAGAGGAGTGCAGGTGCGAGGTGACGCAAAGCGGGCACACGCAGAAAGAGCCGCTTTTGCGGGACGGGCAGCCCGGCCCGGACACCGACATCACCAACGGGGACGGCATGCCTAGCGGGATGAAGAAATCCGGCCCTGGGTGCGATTCCGGCAGCGAGGGTGCGGGCCGCGAGGAGTCCTTGATGATGAGCGAGTCCACATAGAAGGAGCGCGACATGTCGACGGGGGATGGATGGCTTGTCCTGCGGGCCGCGGCTTCTCCTGGCCTCTCACTGCCTAGAGAGCTGGGCAGACGTGGGGCGGTCAAGCCCTTGGGGACACGGAGGTGTCGGCGTCTGGGGCGTCTGGGATTCGAACAAAGGGGTCCTTGGAGAAGGTTGGTCCTCACGTCCCCCGCCCGGCGCCCCGGCTCCAGGATTTTATAGCCCCCACCCCGGCACGTGATGCTGCGGAGTACCGCTCAGCTCAGGCTCCTCCGCAGCTCCCCACCCTCGGGATAGGCTGCCCGAGTCACAACAGAAGCGTTGGGGGGGGGGGGGGGGACGCGGGCAGGGAAGAACGCGGGGGAGGGGGAGACTTCGCAAAGTGTATGGTTTGTTAATTTTGCTGGGTGATCGACCTCCTGTCCCCGCTTCTCCACCTTTTCTGCAGAAAATCTTAGCCGTACACCCTCCGTCCTACACTCTCCCTTGCTTGATCCTCTGTCCAACTCTTCACGGCGATGCGACCACGCAGAGCGCACCAGGTGGGGACTTGCAGGCCATTTAAACTGAGGTACCCAATGCTTCCAAACTCCCCGGTGTCAACCCTGGCTGCACAGTAGAGCCTGAGACTTCTTCTGCCTTGGAGCAGGGTGTGTGATCGTGGAGGGGAGGTCGGCCTGGTCTAATCCTCACCACACTCATACCTGCCCTTGCTCTCAAGCTTTTAGACTTGGCCAAGGTCATTCGCACTGGACAAATCCAGTAACTGGAGGAATGGGCAACTTCCCGGCTAAGAAACCAAGCGCTCCAGGCCGGTGCTACATCAGGTCCTAAATGTCTTTGTGTTTGGGCTTCTCTTGAGGCCACTCAGACCAACGACCCTTCTTCCTTGAGCATCTTTCTAGTCAGCAGTTCAGCCTTCCTCGGAGGGGAGCTGAGGAGTCGCCCTTTTCTTATTCCAAGCAGTTACATAGTTTTACAAGCTCAACCTACAAACGCCACTACGAAATATTTGGAGATGACCAAAAACAGCCTTCCTAGAGACTGGGGTAGGAGCTGGAGGAGGCCTTTGGTGTAAGTCGAGTGTTCTCTTGCTAATACCCCCCCACCCCGCACCCTCAATACTGATGCTCTTTGCATCAAGTCCTAAAGCTAAAGAAGGGCGTAGAGCTAATGGAGGATTCCTGCCTGTACCTGTGAGGAGTGGCTTGGTACCAGAACTCCCTTCCGTGGCTCAGGAAGACTTGTGAGCCTTGTGACAGAGGGTGGCCGCCACCACTGAGGCTCTTGGTTTGGAGGGGGGAGTCAAGGCAGCAAAAATGACAGCGGTTTCTTCCCTGTCCTTTTGCTAAAATGGCTAACTTCAAGTGTAAGTTCACAACAGGGACAAGGAACTTGAAGACTGGACTCCCTCAACCTGAGAAGTGCCCAAGGACAGGAGACCCCAGCTGGAGGCATGGTTCTCTCTATGCCCTCTGGCTTTCTCTTTCTCTCCCCCTACCCATCTCTGTGACCACCTCTCTCTTGCCTGATGGAGGAGTATAATTGGGTTGTAGGGATGCCCCGCTCTAGGGAGCCCAGGATTTATGGATGGCAATTAAAGTTTTATGAATTGCAGCTGAGGCTGGTTATTGAGCTATTTGAATGTGATTAGAATTCAATTAGAAAGTGGTTAGTGGACGGTGGGTCTCCAGAGTGTAAACAGACAGCTATTCCAGAAATGTGCTAATCCAACATCTTGTGACAACAATTAAGGAGTCTGGGGCTGAGCATGGGGCCACTCACTTGTAACTACTTTTGCATGGTAAGGTTTGCCTATACAGCCTTGAAGGGTGCTACTCTCATCCAGCCCACCCAGTCAAGACCAACTCTAACCAATCCACTCTCTCCTGCCCAGCAGTCCCTGAAATCCTTCTAACACTAGGAAATGTATTTAGAATTCAACAATTGAGAGGCTTGACGGCAGATTATTATTTTTTAAGATATTACTTTTATGTATATGAGTGTTTCATCTGCATGTAAGTATGCACACCACCCTTGTGCCTGGTGCTCTCAGAAGCCAGAAGGCATCACATCCCCCCTGGATCCTGAGTTACTGATAGGTGTGAGCCATCATCTGGATACTGGGAACCAAACCCAGGTCCTCTGCAAGAGCAACAAGTGCCCTTAATTGAGCCATCTCTCCAGCCCCAGAGTATTTTTTTAAGGCCTAGATTGTTCGATGGGGTCAATAGGTTGGTGCTTTGAGAACATAGCCCTTTTCTCTTTCCTCCTCTGGTGAGGTAGGTCATCTATAGTCCTTTGGGGGCTGGTGCTTGCATGCCAGTATTCTCAGTGGCTTCTGGTGTGCGCCCAAGAATTGCTCTGCTCATGTTCTGCAAATGGTGTTTGTGTGCAGGACCCATTCATTTTAGGGACTCCATCAAGCAGGAGGCTTACATCTTGTTTGGTTTATGTCCAACTGTGGATGCATTCAGCTTCCACTGTCAAGGGATTTTGAGAGAGGTGAGGGGTCCAGGGAGGCGGGGGTGGTACTGATGACTGCAGGGGAGCAGAAGCTTCAGGCTAGGCTGAGTCTGAGAGCTGGACTGAGAAATCAGTTCACCAGAGTCCTTTGCAAATTGTGTAGGCCCACCCAGAGCAAGTGTTTGGGAGTTGTATCCCCTCTTATAACCTTTGCTCTTTCTTTTTTCCCTAGCTCTCTGTGTCTGTCTCCCCCCCCCTTTTTTTTCCTAGGAGTCAGTGCCACCTCTGCCCCGTGCTCCAACAAGCCCACCCTCTGTATCCTGGGCAGAGCTGCTACCATTGCCCCTGGAGCAGCACCGCAAGTTTGCACCTCAGAGCAAAGGAGGATGCCATACAGAGCCTTTTCCCAAGCAGGCTGGCAGACAGGCAGCACATGCCCATAGTGCTTGCCCCAGCGCACAATTTTATTTCTCAGTGATTCTGTCTGATAAAATTTCATCGTCCATTAAGTAAGCCCCAAAATGAGGGCTCTTATGAGCCTATAATGAGCTCTAATTGCCAGGACTCGGGGAGCCACGTGGAAGGATTTATTCGGTATTAAGCAGTCGGGTACAGAGTACAGGCTGTTACCTTAGCCATTGCTTTCATAATTCAAGGAGAAAATTAGTTCTTTTAAGGGGAGGGGGAAACCCTTTGCTTCCCCTCTCTTTTGCTGAGGCTGGCAGAGGCTGGCTGGCTTTGTCTTCCTTGAATGCAAGCAGTGTTACAAACGCAAAGGTAACAAAATTGCTTTTCCCCATTCCCAGACAGAGCACCCTCACCCTGCCCTCAGCTTAGGAAAAAAAAAAAAAAATCGAAGCAGCTGTAAAAAGAGCAACCGTGCCTTCTTGCCACTGGGCTCTGAGATTGGGTTCCTTCCAGCTCAGCCTTGAGCCTTGAACGCTTGGATTCTAGGTTTCCAATGGTTTTGTAGTACTTTTCCCTCTTGCCTGTGATGGAACCTGACCCGAACCTCACATCCCTTTTCCACTGTTCTTTCTTCCAATTTCCTTTCATGGGCAAAGTGGCATGGCCTTTTCAACAGGCCCCAGAGTTCTGACCTGTTGATGTACTTAACCATTCTTTTTTATTTTTCAGGCAAAACCCCCACTTTGCACCTACCCTTTATCCCCCAAGGGCTCCCCCTCCCATCCTCAGTCTTTTTGTTGTTTTCCTGCCCCTCTGGTTTAGCATTTGCCTCTATAATTCTCCAGCTACAAACTGAGGCTGCAAGCAGAGCCGGACAGCCGGGGAGTTGGCGGGGCTGCCTCGGATTTATTTGCTCCCCTTACATTGATTTCATATTAGTTTCCAAAGCGATGAATGATCTCAAAGCTGGGTTTTGTTAGCCGAACACAAACAGGAGACAGGACTTACTTGCCCCCAGCTCCCTTTAATGAGGTCATTATCAAAGCGTGAACAAGTCTATGAATGTTTTATTGAAAGCGCATCGTTAACTTGTATCCATCCTTTTCTCCAAGTGGCATTGTGATATTGCTGTCTGTGGCACATCTTACCCGATATAGCCCGAGATTTCCCCATTCTCTGTAACCAGGCAACCCTTTCTGAATACCCAAAAATTGAAAAGAACCGCTTAGTCTTCAAGAAAGTCCTCAATAATAGTGGAAAAGAACAAAGATCCAGGAGACAACAAAATGCCACAGGGGTGACTTCTCATGAGCAATTATCTCTCATTAATCAGAAGAACAGCTGCAATATTAATTTTCTCTCTTTCTTCCTCTCTTTTCACAGTCCCCAACATTTGAATAATCATAAATTTTGATTTTATGAAGGAGTCACGTTTTCAGGGGCTGGAGGAAAAGCAGCAGCTACCTAGGTGAAGACAAGAAGAAAATGCTCTTGCTTTATTTTTTTGTTTGGGTAAAACTGTCAACAAAGAAAAATTTTAAAAATTAAAAAAAAAATTAAAAGCAAGAAAGAAATGCCAAAGAAAATGAACCCCCCTCACCTACTTCTAGACGGCTGCTGTGAATCAGGACCCCATTCTCCTCTACCCCTCCTCCCAGTCAGCACCCCACCCCCTTCCGCCTGCCCAGACCCTTTCCCTAGCAGTGCTCGGAGCAGGGTGGAGGGAAATGTCCTTGGCGTCTGGCGTGGGAGTTTCAGCTGGGTCTTTAACTTGCAAACGTGAAACCAAGCGTTGTCGATCTGACCAAAGAGACACTCTTTGGGCGTAACTTGTATTGTGGCCATCAAAAGCCCTCCAGCCTCAGATGAACTGAGGCGGCCATTCAGCAGAAATGGGGCGCTCGCTCGCTTTCCATTCAGGCTCTGGAGAGGCGATTGTTCGCAGGATGTGTAGCCAGAGTGGAAAACTGTGGGTCCCCAGATAAGGCTGTAACCTGCAAACAAGCTCGGAAGTAAAAGAACCTCGTTAAAGGCAAGGGCGCAATTAGCAAATGCTTTCTCTCTCCCCTCCCCACCTTGAAAGCAGTGGGTCCGGGGCGGGGGGGAAGGGGCAGTTGGGAGCTAGTCCCCACATTCCTGC